GTGGAGCGGTTTCTTATCAGCAAAGGCAGAGAACTTTCATTGCCTGACTGGAAACGTGTAAACTTGATGTGTAGGTGGAGAGGGGTTTCTCTTTCAGCAGAAGTTTCACAGAATTTTGTGACCCCGGGTTGGATGAGAGTAATATGTAAATAGACATCTTTCTTTCTTTCTTTTTTCTGCACTTTTTTGTTACTGGATAATTCTACTTACGAAGTTGGTTGATTTCATTTGGACTTTGAAATGGTTATTCTAAGCCCTGCCGTGTAATTAGGAAGCCTAGGTATTTAAAATGATGTATTCTAACGTGAGAATGTTTAAAACGGAAGAAACAGTATTCTAAAATTTCTTATGATAAGTTAGTTTTTCTTAAGGATAATTAACTGGATTGGTTGACCCTTTCTTCCCTTTACCACCTTTTTGAAACGTCGTTTGAGTAAGAGCTATACTGCTATGAGCCGACAAATCAGATGCTGGCTGGAAATGCTGAAAAGCATTAGTCTTATTAAAACCACGGTAGCCTTTTTGTTCTGCTCTGCTCACTGGTTGTAATGCCCAAATCTTATTTGAGCTTTTGATATGGTTAAGAATTACAGCTTTTGTTCATTTGGTGACGATGTTCAGATTCTCAGTTTTAGGTATTTATTTGTTACCTGTAAAATGATTAATAGTTAAATATGGCTGTCTGCTCAGAATAGTTTATTTGAAGAAATGATTGGTTATTCTGGACGGTGATTAGTGAGTAAAGGGAATGAACTGATTAAGGAGTACCTTTTAGAAAGATTTAAGTTAGGTTAGGATTTCTAGCAGCCTTCCTTCTAGAGTCCTTGCTTCATAGCCTGTGGAAGAAAGAAAAAACTTGTCTCTGCACCAAGCTTCAAAATCCTGCAGTTTGGATATGGTTGAATTTTACTAAAAGGAAGGATATTGATGCCTTTTTGTGTGTGTGTGTGTGTTAAGAAAACTAACGTCAACATTTTATAAATTTTAGCTTTTATATCAGTTATATTCTGCTTTGGGAATTAAAGTGATCTGATGCTAATTATCTCTCCTTTATCTTTGCAGGGGAAAAATTATTTTAGTTTTGGAAAGATCCTCTTCAAAAATACCACTATCTTCCTGAAATGTGAGTTTTTGCATTTCATGAAGTTTTTATTCGAGTTTTTGAGTGATCTTTAAACTTTCAAATTACCTGTTTTCTACCTCTGATGATTTACTCTCAACATAAGTTCTGAAATTTAATAGTCCAGCACTATCTAGTTATAAACATATGTAGTGTAAGGTCCTTTCACAGAATAATCTTTAGAATACTTACTTTTATGAACTTTATTTTCTTCTCTTGTTTTTCTGGTGTTAACAATATATAGTTAGACACATTGTTTTGGTTGATAGCCTCCATGGGTTTTAATCTGTTCTGAGTCATAGAGATAACTGCCGATTTTGTTTTTGTGTGCTTGTTAGATGTTTACTGGACACATGACCTAGGTTTGTCAGACCATTGGCTCTGAACAAATATGTTCAGTAAAGCTTTTGTTTGCTGAAGGAGTATTTTACCACTTGGATCTTTGGAAGAGGAAGCTCAAAGATAATTACCAGGAAATAGGGATACGTAGAACAAAACCAGTCTGTCCAGTGGGAAAACCACTGTATCTGAATCCAGAATACCCCATTGTGCATTAAAGAAAAGCTTCCTTTTTTTTCTGAAACTGGCTTTATTTTTAGAGAATGAATGATCACGGGCAGCTCCATTTCAAGATCAGGAATAAAAATCCAGATCATCCATGTGTGCTCCTATGCATATTTCTCTCTATGAAAATGCAAAGTATGTCATAGTTGGATGATTTTATTCTTTTAATCACTTAGTAGGTAGTTACTGAACACTTACTATGTATAGTGCCAGGCACTGTTTTAGACAGCAAGGAAGTGATAGAAAAGACCCTTTCTCTTATTGAGATTATAGCCTGGTGGGATGGAGGGGTTAGGTAGAATTTCTATGAAGAATGTACTGTGTCCATGAAAATATGATCTCTTGGCTGATAATTTAAGTTTGATTTAAATCAAATCTACTCTGACACGCTGGTATTTCTTGTGAGGTTGGCTTTCTAGAAAAGAAGAGCTTTTAGGGATAGCAGTATTTTGTCTTTTGAGATATCCTGACAGCCTGTATGCTATTCTGTCGTTTTATTTTGTACAGTTTCTTCTTACCTGTATTTTGTTCTAGTGGTTTTTCTAGTGGTTTTTGGTCAAGCTGCATATTTTGAAGTGTCTGTGTTTTGTTGTTTTTGGAGGGTTTGAAGCTTCTTAAAATTTGCATTGTCTTTCACTTTGTTACTTCTGTGTTTTCTCATACTTACCTTGTCTCTGATTTTATGCTTTTGTGGGTATGGTATACAATAGATTTCCATGAAATTGGCAGGGCCATTTTCTTTTCTTTTTAAGCCTAAAATTACAATTTTTCACCTACATTAAAAATGTCTGTTTTGGAGAAGGAAGTGAGATTTGCTCAAAGCTTGGAACTCCAGTCCTTTCTAGAGGTAGCCACTTCTCCCTTACACCTGCACCTGGCTCACGTAAGATTCTTAGGGACTAGACCTGCCAGCCAAGGGAAGGTGGGGAATGTGGCAGGACCATTTTCATTGTCTCTTAAAGCCATTCATTTAAAGTTCTGTGTGCTGGGCTTCCCTGGTGGCGCAGTGGTTGAGAGTCCATCTGCTGATGCAGAGGACACGGGTTCATGCCCCGGTCCGGGAAGATCGCACATGCCGTGGAGCAGCTGGGCCCGTGAGCCATGGCCGCTGAGCCTGTGCGTCTGGAGCCTGTGCTCCACAATGGGAGAGGCCACAACAGTGAGAGGCTCGCGTACCGCAAAAAATAAAAAAAATAAAAAATAAAAAAATAAAGTTCTGTGTGTTTTGGGAATTCCCTGATGGTACAGTGGTAAGAACTCCAAGCTTTCACTGCAGAGGGCCAGGGTTCAGTCCCTGGTCTGGGGACTAAGATCCCACAAGCCTCGAGGCGTGGCCAAAAAAAAAAAATTCTATGTCTTTTAACATAAATAGTAGTATTTTTGCAGGCACATTTCCCTGCAAATCTCCTGTTAGGGCTTTTATTTAATTAATTCCTTTTCTGTTTGGTTCTTCTGAGTAGTTCATTAACAAGATTGCAGTATCCTTTTCAGCATTTCCATACATTCTATCCAACACATCAGATTTTTGTGTATTTTAACCTTATAAAAGCCTTTTAAAAGTTGAGCTTTATAAAAATGTGCCGCTTAAAACTTAGTCTGAGAAAACCACTTAAACCAAAAAAAGGGAAAGTTTGTAATTTTAGGTGTGCTGCTTTTAAGAACCAAAAGTAGGTTTTTAGATGCAGTCGTGTTTATCTTTGTCACATTTGCACAAAGTATGTATTTCTAGTATATTTTCCCTTCCTCAGCTGGAATCAAAGATAAAAGGAAATACTGACTTCCCCCAGGTGAGACAGTTAACAGTCATATAGTCAGGTTTACACCCCAAGTCTTCAGACTAATGCTTTGGTTCACTAGAATATTTTGCTCCAAAATATGTTGAATGAGTTATGTGAGGCTTCTA